CAGAGACATTAGAAGGAACTTTTTTCAGTGTGAGAGTAGTTAACAGTTAGTAAGTCAGCCTCCACCACATTAAGAAGTGATGTGGTGGAGGCTGACTGCATACACAGTTTCAAATGTTGATATGACAGATCCCAATAAGCTCAGGAACTGTACACATGATGATTAACAGTTGAGAGGCGGGAAAAAAAGAGCCAGAGCTCATCCCCCACATGCATAAATAAGTACACGGACATGCGTACACTAGATGCGGGTGCTTTGCGATGCTCTGGTAAACCCTGTGAGCCGCTCGACCCAATAGCCGGATCAACCCGGCATCATTCCACCAAAAAAACTCCAACAAAAATATGACAAATGATAATGTGTACTAGTGGAATCCTAACGTATACCAACATATCCCATCTCTGTCTCTCTCCATCTCTCTCTCTGTTGGTATGGGTGCATAAGAAAGGGGGATGGGGTTTACTATTTTTTATTTACAGAGACTGATAATTACCCTCAAACGAACCAGGTAACCGGCTAATAGCTGTATATTATAATACCCCAAATGTAGGAGACTAGCTGCTAAAAGTATTCCGAAACCCAGTTTCCTGGGTTGAGGTAAGCCAGAGGCAAGCCGTTTAGAAGAGAGAGGAAGCCAAAGCCAGCTCCCTGGGTTGATGGGAGCAGTGTGAAAGAGAGCGGAGACAAGACGTGAGTGTGTGTCTGGACCCTGTTGGACAGCCGGCCCTCTCCGCCTGAGGGAGCTCAAAAATTGCCACCAAGTTACGAACAATGGAACTGAACACTGCCGGACAATTTGGACCGTGCGATACCGACTCTGTTTTCAGCACTGAATGTGTCTCGCTATCTCAGTTACACGTTGCAGACTACGCCTTGCAATGGCCCGTAACTCTTCAACTTTACGAATATGTTCGGGGGTTTGGTGCAAAAGTTGTGTCAGTCAGTATGAGAGTCACATACAACGGGGAATAATTAATACACATTGCAAAAATTTATTCTCAAACACGTTTATTGACTTCGGGTATTATAGAATTAAACCGACAGAAAATGAACCAAAGAGAAAAATGACGAAAGTGTGAAAGGCTGGGAAATGTTAGAGGAACAGGAAAGGGGACGGAGTGGGGAAGGGGGGGGGGAAGAAGGAAGAATACAGAGAGGAGAAGCAAGAGGTCGAGGTAGGGGAAGAGAAAGACAGGAAAAGGAGACATAGCAAGGGGGGAGAGAGGAAAAGGAAGCAAGAGAAGGATAAGAGACTCTGAGGAGTAAATTAACCAAAAATGTGAGAGTAGCAAAATTATGGAAAGACTGAAAGAAGAAGGGAGAAGCAACAGCTAAAGGTGAAACATTTTAAAAATAGAGAGTAATAATATGGATGTATATTTTGTTAACGGAGGTAGAAAAGGGCGAAGAGGTAGAACCGCCTATTGACAGAGCACGAGTGCATGGAGGAATTGCGTTAAATCCTGGTTTGTGTCTCGGAGAGGCTGCAGGGTCCAAGTAAGGGCAGTAGAACTTTTGGTTGCAAATCTTTTTTACCATGTCGTAGCGCAGTCGATTAAGGCAGCGTCTGGGATGCTCTCGGACGAAGGTTCGAAACCTCATCACGGCCCTTGTGGATTTGTTCATTTGATGCATCACGCAATTGTGATTTCTGTGGGTATTGCAGTTACATTTCTGACCAATTTTTCCTTCATGCACGTATTGAGAATTTGACCACTAGAGCGAAGGTACGGATCGATTTAGTTATGATCACGATAAGAGCCGAGTAGAGGCCAGCTGAGAGCAGTAGGCTCTAGCATTAAGCAGTATATATACAGTAGTATATATATGACAGTTTCAGACCACGGAGGAAAATTGAAACAGGAATTTCCTTAAGTACTTTCTTATATTAATACATCTTCAGAAGGAGTCATTATAGGAGTCATTATAGTATAATATATTAATCAGTTCCATCGATGGATTTCACGACTACACAGTAATCAGGAATCAAATGCATTATTATAGTGCTCTGATGCTAATAGCAGTAGGCTCATGTGGTTGACATATATGTAATTTTATCAATACCAAGCTGCATATCCTATATGACGGTGCAGATCTCCACCTGTGTGCCCAAAGTCCACGCAAAATAGAATTTAGGTTGTATTATTTTGTGAAGCCACTTGAAAGTAGTAAGCCTCTTTTGTATAACGGCGCCGGACACAGTAAAGCTATAAAGGTTGCACTACTCTGTCAGGACAGTGGCTGTGGAGGTAATCCTATAAGCCAGCTGTGAGAGGTAAAGCTAACGCAGCCTCACAAACAGCAAGCCACCAAGCACAAGCAGACACCTCACCTATACACAGTGTAGCAATATTATATATATATATATATATATATATATATATATATATATATATATATATATATATATATATATATATATATATATATTATTGAATATGAACGAAAGGGTAAGATTATTGATTCTAACACGAATCTTCTCAATATTTCTTACGTTTTCCTTCACTGTCGGGGGTAATTAAAAAATTAACTCTCCAAATTTCATTTTTGCATTTTTATTTATGGTCTGACGCCTAAAAGCGTTTCGCAAGGACTTCTCACATTTTCAAAGACAGGCTTTTACACACATCATTTCATGCATATATTCGTTTTTGGGTGAGGTGACACAAATGTTTGTGGATGAGTTGACAAAAGACAAAACACGAAACTATGGGTATATTGTATATTTGCTGCTTCTATATTGCTATGTGTGCTTCTATGCTCGTTCGGGGTCTTGAAGTGGGTAGAATATAGTTATGTGTATAATATTATGTGTAGAATATAGTTATGACATCAGCGAGGCCCTACACATCAAAAAGTCAACATCCAATTAACACATAGCTATAACTGCTTTCAAGACCCCGAACTAACATAGAAGTAGCAAGAGCAATAAAGCAATATAGAAGCAGCAAATATGCAATATACCCATTGCTTTGTCTTTTGTCACCTCATCGAAAAACATTTGTCATATCACCTCACCCAAAAACGAATATAAGCATGAAATGATGTGTGTAAAAGCCTGTCTTTGAAAATGTGAGAAGTCCTTGCGAAACGCTTTTAGGCGTCAGACCATAAATAAAAATGAGAAAATGAACTATGGAGAGTTAATTTTTCAATTACCCCCGACAGTGAAGAAAAACGTAAGAAATATTGAGAAGATTCGTGTTAGAATCATTAATCTTACCTTTGCGGTCATATTCAGCAAATATGTTTACAAGACTGCTATCAAAATATACTTATATATATATATATATATATATATATATATATATATATATATATATATATATATATATATATACAATATATATAAGAATAAATATATAATAGGATATATATATATATATATATATATATATATATATATATATATATGTATATATATATATATATATATATATATATATATATATATATATATATATATATATATATATATATATATATATATATATATATATATATATCCTATTATATATTTATTCTTATATATATTGTAGATATATATATATATATATATATATATATATATATATATATATATATATATATATATATCTACAATATATATATAAATATATAATAGGATATATATATATATATATATATATATATATATATATATATATATATATATATATATCTACAATATATATAAGAATAAATATATAATAGGATATATATATATATATATATATATATATATATATATATGTATATATATATATATATATATATATATATATATATACATATATATATATATATATATATATATATATATATATATATATATATATATATATATATCCGAAATCGTAAAAGCGGTAACAAAAAAAATGCCAAAATTACCACATGGGAAAGATAATTCGAACTTTTCAAAACTATTTCGAACATCAAATGTTAACAAAAGAATACAGTAGAGCGCAGACAGGGACGTAGAGAATGTATACTGTGTTTGATCAGAATGAATACAGGGGGAAAGGAGGGACTTCAAGACAGTGTCAGGTTCTTTCTCCAGATTAACAGTATTTGGAGCCTCGTATGTAAGGTCCTGTGTAAAATCAAATCAACTCCAAAAACAGTCCTGTGTAAAATTCCCCACCAAAAGATTGACACAGCCGTGAGGACCAAATTAGGAAAAAAAAAACAAATTTATATTTTTATATTAAATAAAATGAAAATGAAATATAATTTTTTTTTTAATAATTCAGAGTGTCTAGATTACTGCAGTAATTTCTGCCGTGTTGGGGGCAGGGGGGGGGGGGGGGGGGGTAAATATAATCATTATTTGCCAGCCCATTCAGCACACACTTTTGTATCTGTAAAATATCTCTCACAAAAGGCAAGCAAGGAATTATGTTCATTAAAAACGTATTCCGGTTAATTCCGTCGAACAGCATGCTATGTTTATTTTAGTCCCAGATTATTTTAGTGGAAGAATTTTCCAACGAGGGATGAAAAAGTCTTTTTTTTAATTCATTAAAATGTTGCTTATTAAGTCTTTATAAAACCTAATGTGTAGTAGCATTAAACATTATTATTTATTTCCTTCGTTAGCTGTATAATGTTGAGGACTTTTAGACAGGGGCTTTTGAATGGTGGTTGAGCCCAGTAGCGTGTAATGAGTTGGAATCCTGGCAGTGAATGGACAGAAAAGCCTGAAGTAGAGACGGCAGAGAGATATCATCACTGTATAACATAAACGGGACTGACTGAATATATAATGTAAGGGGGCTATATATAATCTAACACACACACAGGGTAAGGTGAATATACAAGAGTTTAAAATAATCTAGGTAATAGGTGTGAAAAAAGTATTTAACATGTCTACATTTACTTAAAAATGTTATCAAGTAATAGTACATTATCGTAGTATTTCGTGGCTACATATTCAATCGTGTTTCGTCAAATATGGTTAATTTTTTTGCTACTATGTTTTGCTAAAATAAAAATCCAAGAGGTGTCAGGGTATATCTGGCTTTATCCAAGAGGTGCCAGCGTATATCCGGCTTTATCCAAGAGATTCCAGCGTATATCCGGCTTTATCCAAGAGGTTCCAGCGTATATCCGGCTTTATCCAAGAGATTCCAGCGTATATCCGCCTTTATCCAAGAGATTCCAGCGTATATCCGGCTTTATCCAAGAGATTCCAGCGTATATCCGGCTTTATCCAAGAGATTCCAGCGTATATCCGCCTTTATCCAAGAGATTCCAGCGTATATCCGGCTTTATCCAAGAGATTCCAGCGTATATCCGGCTTTATCCAAGAGATTCCAGCGTATATCCGGCTTTATATAGAAGATTCCAGCGTATATCCGGCTTTATCCAAGAGGTGCCATTGTATATCCGGTCGCATCTAGACTAACTATATTTCCCATTCAACCTAACTGTAATTATTTCATAAGCTCTTTCAAGACCATACTTTCAACAATATTCTGTACATATTTTAGAAGTAAAAAAAAATCACACAATCTTTCATGCTATTTTTGTTAACCTGTTTATTTACATCTATGAATTTTCCTTTTACTATTGTCTAAAAGTTTCTGTTTCTAACTATTTCTGCGGTATCAACACGGTTTCTGTATCAACACAGCTGTGTTGATACAGCCGCTGTGGTATCAACAATGCCAGTCGCTTCCGTAGTAACAATAGCTCGATTTACGTCCTCTGTTATCGATTGTCAAATAGCGCCGGAATATTTTGAAATAGGTTTCTCTTGCCTTGGGTGATACAAGGCGTCACGGAAGGTATCTGTTACTAGCGTAGCCTCAATAGTACCAGGGCCACGGCACTTTGTGGCACCTAGTGGCACCGGGCCTCGTGGCACCCGTGGCGACAATATTAGTGGCATCTGTCCCGAAGGCACCCATGCCACGGGTACCCATCTCAACACCCCCTTTCCCCCCATTCCAAGGGCTCGAATCCCACTGACAGATGATTATGTTAACGGTATGTTAGCACAACATTCCGTTAGCATGCTGCCCTCTGATATAATAAATTTCAACATGGAAACTTAAAAACTAAAAAAACGGAACATTGTTTTCTGATTCCTAAAATTTACCACTCGACTGGGTGGTAATCTTTCCCGTATTAAAGATTTTCACACCTCATTAAATTTTTTACACGCGAGTGTTTAATTTCTTTGAATTTATTGTTATTACAACGAACAACGTGAGCAAAAGAACGTGATAATTACATACATATATATATATATATATATATATAATATATATATTGTACACACACCCACACACCCACACCCTATGTTTGGGTGTTTGGATATGCTTAACTAAATCAAATATGTATTCTTCTCAATAACTTAATTTTTTTTGAATTGTACCTAATTCCTCCAGAGAAGGCCGTGGATTGGAGCACAAAATTAATATTGAAATTTCCCTAAACGATCTAATTTGCGATTTGCGCGGAGATTCGTTACCCCTTGAGAAGCTACACGACCCATGACCTACCAAAAAACAATGTTTTGTGTATTTAGTTGAACAAATTATCGTGTGTGAAGTGATGGACAAGTTGTTGCCAGTTTCTTCAATGAATATATATAATAACAAATTATGCACCAGTTTGTTTTCTTAATATGCTCACGGTAAGCAGTGTCCCTACATACCCACCTGAGGCAGTGTCTCTACATGCTCACCTGAGGCAGTGTCCCATAATGCCCACATGAGGCAGTGTCTCTACATGCCCACCTGAGGCAGTGTCCCTACATGCCCACCTGAGGCAGTGTCCCAACATACCCACCTGAGGCAGTGTCCCAACATACCCACCTGTGACAGCGTTCTTCATCATAGGTGTGGTTTCTGAGCCATCACGTTTGGCAAGTAGAGTGACGGTGTCATCTGCTGTCACTCCATTATATTATGCATCATCAAGCTTTGCAGAATAGCGCCCAGTAATTTATTAAGTGTTCGTATCCACTTATTACACATTATTTTGGGTGGATATATATAATAGGACTTGTTTCGTATGGAACATCTTCTGCTGCTTCCTTAATAATATTTATACTCTGTTGGTAAATTACTTTTGCACTGTTTGATATCTAAAAAATTTATTGTTAGAAAACAGAATGGTTGAAGTGATAGTATTAATATCAATCGTAATAATGTGTCAGTTACAGTAATTATAACATTATAATATCATTAGCAAAATAAACCAATATTCCGATGTAAATAATTTTTTTGTGTTATTGTAAAAGTCCAATGTTCCTTTCTTAAAATATTTAATCTTTTTTTTTCTACATTGATGGTCGTCCTCACTTCAATAACCATTTACACCCCATCGATTGTGCCCACCTTGTTAGCTCGACAGGTGTGATGAACTATTTCCCCCGCCGCAGAAAGCCATGTCGTGTTTTCTTGATTCTGTATCTTGATGGAAGCTGAAGTTGTTGTGCACAGTTGCCACGGTGACCTACTTCTTCCATCTAGTTATTAAGTCTCATCACGCTGTTGCTGCTTCATTATTGCATTCTCATTTTCTCAGTTTTCGTCTAAATTTTTATCAATTTACTGTTTTATCATTTTTCTCAATTGCTTACGTGGACGCGTTACGTGGTTTTTATTCATCTAGTTGTATTCACCTAGTTGTGCTTGCGGGGGTTGAGCTCTGCTCTTTCGGGCCACCTATCAACTGTCAATCAACTGTTACTATTTTTTTTCCGCACACACACCACACACACACACACACACACACACACACACACACACACACACACACACACACACACACACACACACACACACACACACATATACCCAGAAAGCAGCCCGTAACAGCTGTCTAACTTCCAGGTATCAATTTACTGCTAGGTAATAGGGAATCAGGGTGAAAGAAACTAATTTTTTTCTATCATCACCGGGGGATCGAACCCGGACCCTAGGATTACGAGTACAGAGCGCTGTCCACTCGGCTTGTGTGTGAGTGTGTGTGTGTGTGTATATATATATATATATATATATATATATATATATATATATATATATATATATATATATATATATATATATATATATATATGTCGTACCTAGTAGCCAGAACGCACTTCTCAGCCTACTATGCAAGGCCCGATTTGCCTAATAAGCCAAGTTTTCATGAATTAATTGTTTTTCGACTACCTAACCTACCTAACCTAACCTAACCTAACTTTTTCGGCTACCTAACCTAACCTAACCTATAAAGATAGGTTAGGTTAGGTTAGGTAGGGTTGGTTAGGTTCGGTCATATATCTACGTTAATTTTAAATCCAATAAAAAAAAATTGTCCTCATACATAATGAAATGGGTAGCTTTATCATTTTATAAGAAAAAAAATAGAGAAAATATATTAATTCAGGAAAACTTAGCTTATTAGGCAAATCGGGCCTTGCATAGTAGGCTGAGAAGTGCGTTCTGGCTACTAGGTACGACATATATATATATATATATATATATATATATATATATATATATATATATATATATATATATATATATATATATATATAAAATAAGAAAGGATTCCTGCAAGGACTCAAAAAGGATATATATATATGTTTGTGCTCGAGTCTTAAGTTTCAATATGATACCGTTTTTTGGTACTATAAATATCTGTTTCTTCGCTTGAGGCCTACCTAGAGGATGTCTCCATCACACACACAATGTGGACAGTTCGTAGAAAGAAGAACAAACGTTTGAGCGCTTAAGACACCGATAGATATTTCTTTGGAGGAACATGACCATGCGAGAGCAATACCAGTAAAGCCAAGAAAGAGGCGCTCGTAAAGAGAGCTAGAGAGGGAAGCAAGAAACCTACGATCCCCCCCCCCCCTCCCCAACTTGTCAGGGGGAAGGCTGTGAGCCCAGGACCAGGCAAGTTGACAACCCCCCCCAGGAGAGAATCACGACTGAAGCATAAACCACTTATAATTCCAGTCATCCAACAAACTTCCACAATTCAATCCTCCCTCACAGTCCTGCCGTTGCAGCCAGAATCTTGAAGCTTCACCAAGAGCGAGACGCCCCTCACTTCCCCACAACTTACAATCCTTCCGACTCGCCAAGATAACGACTCGACGCCCTTTTGCACCTTACATCCAACCCTTCCTTCCTCCCTTTCCTTGCTCCTCAGTCTCCTATCCTCTGCTCGAGTCCCCTACGGCCGCAGTCAACCTCTTCCCCAAGTAATAACTCCAGCCTAATACTCTCCCGCACAGATAAACTTGCTATATTTCCGGAAAAGTGATCAAGTATAAGTGAGAATGCTATACAGTCGTAATGGCATGGCGCTTTCTCCCGATACTTCTCTTCCCTGAGAAAGTTACATGGAAAAAATTATAAATGCACACGCAAAAGTAATATTTAAGCAGGAGCTCACCGGGAATGAGAGGGATCTGTATTAAGGAACTCAACGAGATTCCACGAGATCTTCTCAATTAAGCAAATGGAAGCGCTTGAATTAAGAGCGTGTTGAACCAAGTGATGCTGGAGGACTTCCAGTTTACCAGATGTGATTTATGTATGGACGGTTCTACTGGAACTGGACACGACTGAAGCTTTTTGGACCAGACACTATATCAGACCAGTGTCCTTGGTGACGTTCTAAACAAGATAATGGAGAAGACCGGGGCAAGGAGGCTGCCAGCGCATAGGAGAGAGATGGTTTATAATGTACGACCAGCATGAACTTAAAGCTTGACTAAAATATCAAAACTAATTCTGTGACCAAGGAAAAGAGTGGGTAGACTCTAGTTTTATCAAGAAGCCTTGATACTCTACTCCACAAGAGATTGGTCCACAAGTTATAGAAGCAGACGGGAGTGACAATGTAGGTGTTCAAGCGAACAAACAACAGGTGACAGCGAGTCATAGTGAGAGTAGAGATCTTTGAATGACAAGATGTCATTAGCTGAATATCAGAGGGATCAGTACCCGGATAACTCAAATTAGTGAAAAGCTATGAAATTTCGTGCTGGGAATAGGAAGCCGGACTTACAGTACCAAATAGGAGATGAAACCCTTCAAGAATCGAAGAGAAAGACCTGAAGGTTGATATCACACTTAACCTGTGTCCCGAAGTTCACATGAACCGGATATCAGTAGTGGCCCATGGCTAGTTGGCCAACATAAGAACTATAACTTAAATCTAATCAAGAAATTATCCATGACCTTGTTTACCACATATGATAGAACAGTCCTGGAATATTTGTCACCAGCTTGGATAGAATCCATTTAGTCAAGCACAAGACGGAGTTGGATAAAGTTCTGAGGCCTACCACCAGACTATTCTCAAAACATACAAGTATGAGTTACGAGGAAACGCGGAAGGAATTCATCATCACGCCAGCGGGTGAGAAAGAGAGTTAAAGAAG